TTATTCTATACACTTATAAGCTATTCCTGAAGATGGGAGAGAGAACTCAAAGGTGAGAGCAACAAAGAGCTAGGTTGAGAGAAATACCCAATGGTCAATGTCAGACAGAAGCTGGTGAAATAAAGAATTACACAAAGATCTTTAAACCTACAGTTGAAAAAGACTTTTTAAAAGCCTAAATTTATATTTTCCTGCTATCACCAGAGGACTTTTCAAACTACCATGTAATTTTTACTAAGTTTAACTATACCCAGGCTCTTCGGGCCAAATGGGCAAAACAGAGAAGGAAACAGATATTGCTCATAGTTTATTTCTAAATATTTGGCTGGAAATGATTTTTCCCTTAGAAGATCTTATCTTGAATGGTGCAACAATGGGACATTTCTTATGGTTTACATAATAAAAGTACTACAGTTCTCCATTCAACATTTCTCAAAATCCTTATCTCATTTAGTATATAAAGTTAAGGGAGGGGCAGTAGTGAAAAGGGATATAAACATCCCTTTTTTTTCTTTTTATTGGTACTGGGGATTGAACTCAAGACTGTGTGCTTGCAAGGCAGATGTTTATGCCACTGAGCTAAATCTCCAGCCCCAAACATCCCTTTTGAAGATGTGTTCCATGTACTGACTTCCCTATGATGCATGTAATCATAATATACTGCAAAATGTACCAATAAGAATTTTTTAAAATACCAAAAAAGTTCCAAAGTTATCTGCTACACAAGGATAACCAAAAAAGTTTCACTCATTCATAAATAGCTTTTTAACTCATTAAGAAAAAAGAAGACTATCTCAATGATAAAATGGGCCAAGAACATAAGGCAACTTATTTATAGTAAGCACAATATCAACATGTACAGATAACAAATATAATAATTTCGAGGGCCAGGAATATATCTGGCAAGCACAAGGTCCTACGTTCAGTTGCTGGTAGCAAAAACAAAACCAAATCAAAAAATAACCATAATAATTTAAAAAAACACTATTAGTAATCAAAAAACAAAAACTAAAACAGTAAGATACTATCTTTTGTCCATTTCTGGCAGCATTACAAAGAGATTAAACCAGGATTGATGAGGTTGTTAGAAAACAGATATCTTCATATTTGCCAGTCTAAACAGCTGTAATTTATTGAAGGACAAAATCTAGTCTACCCACTGGAAATTTTAAAAATGTCACACCTGTAATCCCAATACTCAGGAAGTTGATCCAGGAGGATTACCAAGCATTCAAGATCAGCCAGGGATACACAAGTGAGTTCAAGGCCTGCCTACACTACACAGTGAGACCCTCTTTCAAAAAAACCAAAAACATACTTGAAAGCAGGCAGTCATGAGTTCGATCCCTGGTACCGATAAAAACGAAAAAGCAAAAAAAAAAAAAAAAAAAAAAAAAAAAAAAAAAAAAACCCAAAAACATAAACAAAATAAAACTTCCCCACAAAAGTGTGTATTTCCTCTGATCTAGCAACTCCCTCAAAAAGTTTATTCTTATGAATTAATGAAAGATATACGCAAAGATTTATTGTATAATACTGTTTGGGATGATATTCATGAAACAGAAATCAGTAACTTTCTGAAGTAACTAACTGATTAACAATTAAATAGTATATCCCTAAATTATATAGTTATAGTCATATATACATATTTTTCAGATGATTATTAACTTTCTTTTTTAATGGGGTTGTCATTGTTGTTTTGCCTATCTTTGAATCCCAAGGCTAACATGACTTTCCTGCCTGAGGCAGGACGACTGTCATAAGTCTGAGGCCAGCCTAGGCTATACTATTCAAAGTTCAAGACCAGCCTGAACTACATGGTGTGACTCTATCTCAAAAGACAAAGTTTTTGACTTATTTTGATTTAAAGATGGTTTCCAGAGCTGGGGTTTTAGCTCTGGGGAAAAAAAGCATTTGCCTAGCAAGAATGCAGCCCTTGGATTCCTGGCATACACACACACACACACACACACACACACACACACACACACAAAACTGTTTAAAATAAAGATTTTTAAAAGGATGGTCTTGCTTCTTCTTAAAGAATATCTGAAAAATATTACACATATAAAAAAGTAAAGTACTGCAATGGCTTCAATATACCCCTTATTCAGATTAAAAATGAATAATATTTGGCTTTCTTTTTCCTTCTAATTTATACTCTTATCTTCCCCTGCCCAGATTTTTTGAAGTAAATCCTTAATAACAAATCATTCATTAGAATATGAGTTTTGAAGTCATACATACAAGGGTTCCTAATCCTACACTTACTCACTAGCTACACTGCATTACTTTTTTTTTTGTTGTTTTTTGTTTTCACTGCATTACTTTTCAGCTGGCAATACTACCAGTTACTCAATGAATGAAAAGCAGTTTCTTTCCCCTGGTTACCACCAATTTGTTCCAACACCTGTGATGTTTTTCTCAAAATGTAATCAGCTCCACTCTACTGCTGTTAGCTCTGATCTGTGCTCTTTTTATTTTACTGTTCTGAGTAATTCCAAAAACAATGTTTTCCTCACTTCTTGCTCATTTGATATCTTTTTACTATGAGTTATTTTAGGCAGAATACTAATCTTTCTGTTTCTGACTCTCCCCCTTCCTTCTTCATTCCCTCTCTTTCTTTCTCTTTCTCTTGTGGGAACTGAATTGAGGGGCTGGGCTACACTCCAACTCGGTCTCTCTCTCTCTGTCTCTGTCTCTCTCTTTTTTTAACATTGACACAAGGTCTTGCTAAGTTGCCCAGGCTGGGCTTAAATTTGTTATCATTCTGCCTCAGTCTCCCAGAAGGCTGGGATTATAAGTATATATACTCCGTGCCCAGCTTCAGAACATTAACCTTCTAGATGTTCGGTAAATCAAAAAGATCAAGGGTGAAACAAGCTGGGCAAAGATTACAAAGACTATCCTTGCAGTGTATACTGCAATGTTAAAGAGCCAAGAGATCTTGCAGTAATGAGTTCTGTTTAACACTGCTTTATATACATATGATCATATCACAAAAAATTTTCCATAAAGAATTCAGAAGCTACAAAAGGAGAGCTCCATAGAATATGCTTGGGAAATGGTAAGTGCTAAATCATTAATGATAAAGCAATGTCTTTATGGGATTACCCTAGTTTACCTAAAATGTATTGTTATTTACATCATTATATATGACATAGTCTTTTATACTAGAATATTAGCCTTATGTTTCATGCAGTGTGGGCAATGTGTGCTCAGTAAGTATCTGTTGAATTAGCATCCAAGCTAGACCAAAAGTGTGAATAAACATTACCAGTAATAAAATTGGTCATGTTGCCGCTATTGGTTAGTCCTCGAGATATTATACATTTCTTAGTAATGACCAGTAGAAGTTTGAGGAAAATGTCTATTTTCTTCAAATTTCTAAAGGGTCGAGAGTTCCTAAAGATTTCTTCTGACACAGCCATACTAATCAGCTATGTTAGCCAGGGAAACATTTTATCACTGAACTACATCTCCAGCCTACCCTATGCCAGTTTCACTGAAGAAAAAAATGTGGATGTGTGTACACTCAAAGTTAAATATGATTATAAAAATGACAGCAGTGCTAATCTTGGGTAATAGGATTAGATACATTTTTTTTTATGTTTTGCAAAAGTTTCTACAATGAATAAACACTAAGAACAAATTTTTAAAATTTATATTCAGTATAAGGTCTCTCTTATTTGCATTCATGTTGGAATTTAGTTATTTTTGTTTGGTGCTGCTGGGGATTAAATCTAGGCCCTTGTGCATTATAGCAAAACCTCTATCACTGAGCTATATTCTCAAGTCTTTTTTAAATCAGGTCTCCTATGTAGTTCAGGATAGCCTTGAATTCATGTAGCCCATGCAGGTCTTGAACTCATGGCCATCCTGCTTTCACCTCCCAAGTACTGGGATTACAGGCAGGTGTCACCACATGCAGCTCAATGTCTCATTAAATTGCTCAGGCTGGCCTTGGAGTTCCTGTCTCAGCCTTCCCAGTAGTTAGGATTACAAGGATATGCTACCACTCACAGCTTGGAATTTCATTTTTACTGACTTAAAAAAAAAAATCTCTCTGTCCCTGGTGTATACTTTCTCTAGGTCAAAAGACTTCCTCCTTAGAAGCCATCTGTGGACTCCTACTCAAGGACTTCTGCCCAATAGGGATGTGATGCTAAGGACTCTGCAGAAAAGTAAGACACAGGGTACTCCCTGTTTCAGCACAGGAAACTGCCCCCAAGGTATATGGCTACTACTTTCCTGGTGGAATGGCTCTCACAAAAGAAGAATGAAGCAGCCCAGACTGTCCTACTCGGCCACCTGGCTGAAAACTCAATTGCTACAGAGACCAGGAGCTTCACAATCCTCACCAGCACAATGGGGAATGGGGTTTGTTCTGTATAAACAGATTTTTAAAAAATTTAGGTTAAAACACGGTCCTTAGAGGAAGGGAAATAGAAACCAGGCAGCGAGGAATGCTTCATATTCCTAAAAGCTTTTTTTGTAAGTTAACACATGGTGTCTGCTTCTCTCTAGTCACCTATTTATCACTCTCCTCCTTAGAGAAGGGAAAAAGCCCTGGCTGTTTTCCTAGTGCAGAGTTTTGTGGCTGGGGGAAGAAGGAAAGGGGGAGGAAGGAGGGTGCTTTAAGCATGATGCAAACCATTTGGAGCTGAGTGAGCGCACTGCCAACACAAGCTGCACTATTTAAACAAGTGAGGAAATGATCGTATATACAACATGCCAGCGAGCGCGCGCACACACACGCACACACACGCACACACACACACACACACACACACACACACATCCCAAAGGAAGTTGAGAGGGCTTTTTTTTCAGGATATAGAGCTAGATGTCAGCGGCTAAAAGGTCGATATTTTCCCTTAACACCCTTCTCAATGACTTAATCATGTTCCGTTTGCACAGAAAACTTCCCAAGAATAAAAAAAGTCTGGAGAATTAAGGGGGGGGGGTGAATGGGGAGGGATGTTTGGCCTGGTGCTGACCTTATCCGAGGTTTTCTCCACGTAGCAGGGGTCCTGAGGGGCAGCTAGCAAGGGGACAAAGCCTGAGAGAAGTCGATCCTCTTCCAGGATAAGAAGGGTGAGGTCATCGTCCGGGTCCTTGTACAGTGGCACCTCAGACTGGTTCACCGCAGTCAGTATGTTACAAAAATCAGCCAGCGTTGACCATACATCCACAGCAACCCTGTGAAAAATAAGGTCAGAGAAAAGAGCAGGTCTACAGAGGCACTATTAAAAGTACATTCAGCATTTGTGAGGAGAATACTTGTTGCAAAAGTTGTCCAAACTGGCAGCAGCCAGGAAATCATATTAAAAATGCTAGGATTCATGGCAGTAATCTAGGTATGAGTGTCCCTCTATGCAAGTTTACACTGATTAGGGGGAGTTTTAAAACTCTGACCAGAGAGGAAAAATCTGGAGAGTAGTTGCCTAATGCAGGTCCTGTCCTCTTTCCAGCAATGCTCTGAGATGCTTACTAAAACACTCTAGATTCCCAGTGCCTGAGGCAACTCCCAGAATTTCCCCCTCCTGAGCAACCAAGTATATACCACACAGACAGCAGTGACACCAGCCTGCTTCTTCCAGACACAGCTACAGAGGATTCAGTCACACTGTGCGGAGCTATGTGGGTTTTCCCTTTGCAGTGCTTTAGAAATCTCTTCCAATCAAACACAGATTCAATGAAAACATCATTCCTGGCCTGCCAATATCCACTCAAGAAGGTAAAGCTTCTCAAAGATTTTGGCACATGAACCACTATCAGTGCTGTCTTGACCATCCCCCACACTGGCCTTTTTCACACTTATAGAAGGTTAGATACAGGGTGACTAGACGTTGTCGGACAGTCCCAGTTTTAGCACTCAGAGTGTTATACCTCTCCAAATCCCCCAGTTTTGGGTAAACAAGGTTGGCTGTTTATCATGATGGCTATCACCAAGCCGTGGTTGAACTGGAGAAGAAAAACTCTAAATGCAAAGTTTAACTCTTCTCATTTGATATCCTGAATAGAATTATAAGAGAGGGTTCAAATTCCTGTTTTGGTGAGTGCCTGCTCAGGAATACCTCAAATTGTAGTCAATTGCACTGCTTGCCATATTTATAGATTTGTCTTTCTTCTCCAGAGGAGCCCCTAACCTGGAAATCTGAATAGGTAGTACCCTCTGAATGCGAAGTTTTACTTTAAAAGGAACAGTATGCACAAGAAAATCATAAATAAGCCTTCATGATTAGGTTCAAAAGATGGAGCAAAAGAGAAAATAAGCAAAGAGAGTTGCAGAATCATCCTTGAATCTTCCCAGGGGAGTTACTATGCATGAATGGCTGCCTGGAGGAAGGGACCTCAGACCTAAGCAATCTGTTTTTCCTGGAGACTAGGGACCTTTGGGAGATGGTGGGAGAAATGGCATTCATGGGATATGTTACTGAAGGTGATGCTAGAGGAAAAGGTGGGAGAGGTATGGGAACTCCATGACTGGCTCCAGGTGGAAGGTGGTTGCAATGTTTTATTTACTGTACTCACTACGCTAGGAAAAGGCAATGAAATGAAACATCTTGTTTTCAAGAGTGTCCTGGGAACCAGGTGGAACGTACCCCCATTAATCACACAACAGCACATAATCAACACACGTGTACTGCAGAAGTAACTCACTTCACAGGTTCTGCCCAGGAAAAAGAACATGTTTGAGAAGAATCACCACAGGGATGAGAGTTTTCTAAAGCCTCTCTGCACAGACACCGACAACCAGACTCATTCACAAAGCTCCATCTTTTGGCTCAGCCTGGTTTGGCTGTCAGAAATGTTTAAATATGGAAAAAAATAAACAGTTGCAACACGTTTCTGTGCAGAGATCTGCCTGAGCCCCTTCGTGATGTAATGGGAAACGCGGCATTCAGGCTACCAGCTGTAGAATAAACAGAACTTTGAGGGTTAAAAGGAACTGAACTTTCCACGACCCCATCTGCAGAGAAGAAAATAATAAGAGGAATGATGCACTGCCCCACAGCTCTGATAGTTTATCCTCTGGTCCCGACTGCAGAGACAAGCACCGGATGTGATAGGGCTGCTCAGGGCCGCCTCTGAGGTTAGTACTGCCCATGGGAGACGCACAGGGAGGTTCTTCTAGTTCTCCACTTCCTCCCCCAGTGCCCTGCTGGCCACTTGAGCCCACTGCTGAGTCCGATCCCACAGCACTGGTGAGCTTTGGCCAACAAACACTGCTCGGCTGCAGAGCAGCAATTTGGAAAATAAACAGGAAAGACGACAGTGAGAAGGAAGAAGGTGAAAAGTCTCCCAGCTGAATTCTTGGCTTTGGGGCCCTAGCTGGTGCTGTGCAGGTTGAGGCTGCAGGAGGACATAATTAGAGGTTGGATGAGGGTGTGAGGAGCAGCATCCCCAGCCAGACACAGGCAGCAGAAAATCACCCACGGCAGCCACCGTGGGAGGCCCCATAACCCTCTCTTATCCTCCCACCCCTACCATCTTGGATCCAAAATGAAGAAATATGTGGTACCATGTGGTTCTCATTACCATGCTCTCTTGTCCCCTAAGGCTCAGATAAACCAGAAGAGACTCCTCCCAGAGATTGTTGGCCACCACTAGGGACCCCTGCCCACATCTGCCTTTTGCCTATTACCACCCACCTTGTGCCAAAACCCTTAAGATTCATCACAAAACTAAGGTACATAAGAGCTCCTACCCTAATGTTGATTTTGTAAGACAGCATCTAGTGCCAAAAGACATAGGAAGTACCAGGAGTTCCCAACTCAGAAATGTAAATAAAAAGTGGTTCAAGGATCAAGCTAGACTGATCAGAACCAAGGAAATACATAAAATCCATCAATGAGAGGTCACTTCTGCTCTGGTCAATTCAGCCCAATCTTGTATTTGAACTCTGATTCTGAGTAGCTGCTTTCTTTTGTTATCTCAGTGGAACTATCTAAGCTCAGATTACATATCATATGTTATCTCATCTCACTGAACACCACAGACATGAACACAATTACATAGATATCCCTGGGCCATCTAGTAACTCTCCACAGCAGTGTGAGTGTAAAGAGTATCAGGAAACTAATACTAGAAAATGGAGAAGTGCTTTGAAAATGCAGGTGAGATGCCTGAACTCAAAAACTGATATTGCAAAGGGACGAGGTAATTTCTGGAACCCTGGCAACCTGACCTCAGTTTACCCCAAAGGAGACTTTGGGCCAGGAGGCCAGTACCATGGATGAATACAGAGTTTCCTATCTGAATACAAGGAGAAAAGCTTAGCTTTTTCTTGTTATAGTTTCTTATTTCAACTGGAGTGCCTTCTAACCTTCACCCCCATACCAGCCCTTGGACTCTACAGATTCAATGTTGGCTGAGGAATCCAAAATCAAATTTTTATGGTTATAAGGAGCTGTTTAAACAGCTTCCAACCTTCTGGAAAAGCTTGGGAAATGACTCCCCAAAAGGTTTTTCTGAAAATCTCAAATCACCTTTCATTATCTATGGACCCTCTAGAGTGCTATAGGTTTAGTCAAACCCTTTTGGTTTGTTCTGGTTCAACTTATATTTTGGGGAAGCTCTCAGAGCCCACAAAATCCTACTGAAGTTAGGGTGTATATATCACCAAACAGACACAAAGCAGCCAAAGAATATGAAATTGTGCTTAATAAACCCATTTATGGCTCCCAGAATGGTGGCAAGGGAGTCTAAACAGCTGGGATGTGATTAATGCACAGGGATCAGCAATTGCAGGGCGACCCATAGGTCCAACCCCAGAGAACACACCACACACCAGGAAAGCAGATCCTTAGCTGGAATCTGAACACCAGATTCTAGCCTGGGACAGACCAGTAGTGACTAGTAAGAGGCATGAACTCACAACCAAGGCCCATTTACTTCCCTACAGACATGCATTCACTTACTCCACCAGGAAAGGAAAAAAATAAGAGTTAATTTACTTTTTATTGCCTCAGAATTCCAAGGTTTAATGTAGCTGTCAGTTTGAGTGCAGTGCAGCTGCTGGCCGATACAATGCAGCCCAGGCCAACCCAGGTGACTGGGGAAACACATTTCACAGAAATGAACCAACACACACTCTTGGCTGGTTGTTTGGGGGATATTGACTTGGAGAATCAGATTAACCCTTCCGGCTGGGGTTAGTTCTGCAAATGGCATTAAGAAAAGGCATTTCAGTTCAGGGAACTAAGAAGTCCTGCTCTAAGATGGGTCAATGGGTTTCTGTGTTTCTAAAATTCTAGAGATCTCTCATAGGATATGTTGTACAACTAACACATGCCTTGAAAGATTAAGGTGTGAGATACGTGAGGTGTGTTATACTACCACAATATGTCTCCTTGCCTAGAACTTAGAAGGTAGAATTGCCTGGTTTATAGGGAAGGGGTCAGTTAGGACTCCTGTGAAAGCTGCAACTGGGGTGGAACCAAGGAACAATGACAGTTTGGAGAGGTCTGACCAGGACTCAGGCTAAGGAGGACTAAGTCCTCACACACTCTTTCATATTTTTACTGGAGGAACAGGCTGACTGGTGATTAATATCAAGTACAATGACCCCATGTTACAAGCCTGCAGGGGCCTGTGGAGGTGGCCATTTCCTGTGTAATACCAGCTTGTTTAAACACTAACATTCAAACTCCACAGCTGCAGAACAAACCCGGAAAGAGTTGAGTGAGAAGAAGTCCTGCATTGTGTTTCAGAGCTATGGAAGATCAGAGAAGTTCTACACTTGGGAAACAAGTTGTGTCTTTTGGTTTCTGGAATGAGAAGATTTGGAAATATAGCCAAAGATGGTACAAAGCCAAAGATAGGCACAAAGAAGCTGAAAAACAGCCATGGATGACATCCGCAAAAGGGAAAGACAAAATACCTTAACAAGAGAAATTCTCCTAAGATATGCAGAGTTTGCTTTTAAAAAATTAATTCCCTCTTGGAGCCCACACTTCTCTAATTCATTTTGTTTAGTGGCCAACATAAGCCCATCACTGCCTTGGAGGACTTCTTATCCAAATGGAGAAACCATGAGGAGGTGAGCAGCTAACAGCAGAAATGGACCTAAATCCAACAAGTCTGGTAAAGTTAAAAGAATGTTACTTGGGCTTAAAATGGCTTAGGATGCTCCTTTAGAAAGCTAAGATGTAATGCTGAACCCATGTCATGGGATAAGGAAATGGTTCTGATAC